GATTAAAATCCCGTTTTGTCTTGATTTATTGTGCTGTCTCGGCTAAGACCTTCGCAATTGCAACAATGTGAAATTTCTAGAAGGCACTCACGTATATGATAGAATTTAGGGTATTTATGAGCATCTCTGAAAATAATTACATTAAAAATAACAAAAAACACATATATTGCTGATATATTATGTTCAATATTTCGACATTTCATTCGGTCTTTTTCTTTTTGGTATATAGCTTTTTGTCATTGTCACCAAACTGAATTTGAAGGTCAATTGAAAAGAAATTTAACAAAGCAAACAAATGAAAATGAAAGTTAAAAGTTATTATAATATGTCGCACTGACTTCGAAATTTTCAACGGAAAGAAATTATATTGAATGAAAAGATTTACATCTCGATAAAATATTTATGTTTAGAATTGGTTTTTCATGATGGATCATATGTTAAGTCAACTCCTACATAATGAAAAAAAACATCAAGCCGTGTCGAATGAACTTGTAGTTTTAACTTGCTCGGTAAATATTTGACTCTTAAAGTTAGAAAAGTAGCTATTAGTTATGTTATTTGTATTTCCTTTTTCTTTCTTCTTCACTTTCTCTTGCAAAACAAAAAAAAATCATCGAGTGCCTCTTTTCTCACAAAACAGACTACTCTCACATGTCTCACCATATCAAGCATGTATCAAAGAAAGAAGAGAAGGTAACACATACCAAAGGAGAAAACAGATATAAGATCAAAATAATATATATTAAAGAATACGAATAAGAAGAAGAGAACAACAAGCTGAGATGGAACATGGCTAACAATTACGACAGAGGCATTGGCTATTACTCTTTTTATCACATGATCTTTTTTATCTTTTTTCAAATAGTTTGACAAGACCGTAGTTATTCATCTCAAATTTTATTTCATTTTTAAACTGTATAGAAATGAAAGAAAATTAGCTTAATTTATTTTTCTTGTATTTATGGTAAAACGTTATACGTATGTCAAAGGTAGCACAGTGGGTGTGGGTGTCGGTATTCATCTATCTGACAACGAAATACACATCCACACCCCACAAGAATGAAATTCGATTTTCAGGATCTCTTTAATTTATATGAAACTTCGAGTTTGATTCCGTCAAAGTTCGATCCAGATCTCTAATTATTGAGCTGATTATTGACCACTAGTTGTTGTATTCTTGTGCTTTTCTTTTTACATGACGAAGCTGAAAAACATCACAAGACTCTTTTCTCTGCGTCGTAATCTACTCTTATCTGAAGGTATCGCCCAACCATTAATTTTATGTGTGACACCATTAAGAACTTTTGCGCATGTAAAGTTGTCTCCTTTTTTTTGCTTAAAATAGACGAAGAAGGAAAAATGACGATGTATTGATTCATGTGTTATTCGTTACGGAATTGCTATAAAAAGTGAAAAAGTGTTAAACATTGTTCAGAAAGAAAGAAATTTTAAATTGTTTTTTTTTTTTTATTTAGAAAAAGTGGCTATGTCGATTGTAAGTTCACCACGACAAATAATAATCCAAATAGTTCGTAAATCCGACGGTAAAACAATGAAAATGAACATAGCTGAAACTGATAATCGTAAAGTAAAATATATTAAAAGTCAATTGAATCATTTATTTCATCCATATGCCAAATTTCGCTTGTATTATAATGGTAAACATATTAAATCTAGACACAAATTAAGTTATTATGGTATAACAAGCAATCAATCAAATATTGAAATTATTTTGATTTAAATATATTATATATGTATATTACTTTTTTTGCATGAACATATAAATAAAATAAAACGTTTGTTTTTGTTACTTAGTTGCTGCTCTTTTATGTATTTGAATTTAAACTATTGTGAAAAGAGTTTTATTCAATTTAATGATATCCATGCGAAATTTATATTTGATGTATACGATGTTCTAAGTGAGCTATCATTACATTTAATTGATTGATTTCGACAGGATGTAACCCAATCAGTGTTCTATAATTCACGTAAAGAGTCAAATCCTGTATTTAGGGCTACATTCTGATTGCAGACACTTGTTCTAGTCAATTAAAGAAAAATATCCATTAAGTAGCATCTGGAGGAGAAGTATAAATGACCACATTGTCGAGTTAAGACAAAATTTATAATGTAAAAAAAATTCATTAATTAAACATAGATGAATATCCAATTTTTATTAGTTTCATAATCAAGATTATCCTTGTTAGTTATATCGAAGACGTTGATGCATCGATAATAAAAAGAATACCATCTCTTTTGATAACTATTACGATTTGATAGACCATCTAAATTATTCTTGTTCTGTTTGAATCAAAATGCTTTCGTTAACCACCAATGTGACCTTTCTAGGAGGTTTTGAATCATGTTGAGAGTATTCTTGTTTAAATCGTACTATTGTTGATTCTTCTAAATTCTGGATGTTACTGATCTAGGATCAAATATTTAGATAAATTTAACAATGAGAATTTAATTGACTATGGTATCCTTCTAAAATGCCAATGATATCAAATAACCTCTATGATGAGAAACGAAATAAAGTATCTTTAATACCTGTACGAAAAATATGATCTGCTAATTTAAGAGAATGTTGATTTACATTAATGTCTTGAACAATATGGTGTGTGTGGAGTGTGGATGTAGATGTGAGAGGGTGGATATGGGTCACTCAACACCCACACCAACACCCCACTGATCCCATAGTGTACCTCTATGCTAGTGTTAACTAAACATGTGACGAGCATTTACAATAATTTTGATATGTTATTTTAGTCACAACCGTATAGATTGCACTGTCTGGGATCCAGAGCTCGGACGCAAGTATTTTCACTTGGAGTTTTCCTACTTTTTTAAGTGAAAGTATAAGTACCAAGTACTTTTTCAAAGTACAACTACAAGTACTAAGTACGTCTGACGGAAACTTGTAATTATCCTTGTACTTTCAGAAAAGTACTTGGTACTTATACTTTCACTTCGAGGCAAATAGTTTCGTACTTACATTTTATTACAAAAACTTGAACTTCGTACTTTTACTTAGAATTCGAAGCAATGTCTTTTTTCTTATTTCAAGTATTTTTCTGTTTCTTTGAAATCGTCAGTTATTATGTAGTGCTAAAGTGATAAATAACTTTCAACTCTTCACGATAATCTAAGGGGAACTCATTCATCTCTCATGTGAAAATTTTAAGCTTAGTCTTATAATCTGTTGTTTATTCTTATTCGTTTCTGAATTTGCGTCATTTTGGTTCTTTAATTTATTATCATATCTAAAAACAAGACTTATCATCAAGAATCTGTTGGAAAACATGAAATACATTAAAAGACTGAATCATTCAAAGCCGTATCGCTAAAAAGGATGTCGGTGTGGGGTCGTGTGGGTGTAGTCTTCTCGATACCTACACCCACACCCCAGATTTTTTTTTGATTAAACTGATTATTTTTCGATTGTTTTGATTGAAAGATACAGACAAAATAGAACGAAGTTTTTTTTCATAGAAAATCGATAGAATTCTTTTCCTCACCGCTTCAGTGTTGGAGAGAAGTAAAACACATGCAAAGTAGAAAAAACAATGTTTTCTTTCATTTTTACGGAAAGTAAAAGAAAACTCTTTTCCTCGTCGCGTTAATACGACAGAAGAGCAAGGCACAAACAAAATAGTAAAGAGTTTTTTTTCCACAGAAAGTCGATAGAATTCTTTTCCTCGTCGTTTCAGCATGGGAGAGAAGTAAACACATACGCATAAAGTATAAAAAAGGTTTTTTTCACTTTCACGGAAACTTGATAGTATTATTTTCCTCACTGCTTTAGCATTCCAGATTACTAAGAATCATATATGTAGAGAAATATGCGAAACTGAATGTTTGGGATAGTGATTAACAATCGATATAGATGCTCCTTGAGCTAAGGCTTTAAAAATAGTAGTCTATTGTCCATTTAGAAATATAATGTGCTCCACTGGTTTATAAATAACTCGAGAACGCAAACAGCTAGAGATCTGCGGTTTTCACCAATCGGAAGAGAAGACAGGGGGACGTCTTTTTCTCCAATATTGTATACGACGAAATCATTTTAAAATCAGCCATTTCTGCAAAAAATTACGAAAAAAGGCATGAAAGCGATCGGTCATTCCGATGAAATTTTGGTTTTGACATGTGATCTATTTAGATAGAGGAAATTCAGGTCTATAATTCAAGATATAATTCGAATGATTATCTTCCCACATTCTAATGTTGAGCAAATAAAATCGTCTGTTTAGTAACACGAAAACTATGGATTTCTTTTAGTTTTTAAGCAAATTTTCTTATTTTTTTGTCAAAGGTTCACCTTAATGACAGACTGTTTTTTGTACATTTTTTCAATGTTTTGCAGAAATGACTGAGTTTAAAATGATTTCGTCTTATACAATATTAGAGAAAAAGATGTTCCCCTGTCTCCTCATTCGATTGGTGAAAACTGCAGATGTCTAGCTGTTTGCGTTATTGAGTTTTTCAAAAAACAGTGGAGCACACTATATTTCTAAATGGACAGTAGATTTTACTTTAAATTCGATTCTTTTTTAATCAAAATATTTTATTGCATCGGTTTTGGAAATGAATAATGAGAAGTAATAATTATTGTTATATTGTCAGCCCTAAGATCTTACCTGGTTTAAGCCATTAGTACCAAGTACGATTATAGCGTTTCGTTGGTGCATATCAAGTGACTCATTTTTCTAAGCTCAAAACATGGTCTTATTATAATATAAAATCGATCAAAAGATGATCAATAAAGTTGTGTATATATCAAGAGAGAAAGAGCTGAAATCATATTTTTTTGATTAAACTGATTTTTTGATTTTCTGCCAACTTTACATTAAAAAAATCAATATATTCAAAAACTACACAAAAAATCAAAATAATCAGAAAAATCGAAAACATCACTTTTTGGTATTTATTACGGTGGACGTCATTCTCTAAATGTACGAGTCGTCTTTTTTTATTAACCAGACTCTATCTACAGGCTTAAATTAAAAGAAAACATTTAAAATCAAGACACAAAACGTTGAAACTCGGAGCTTTTTTTGAATGATTTTTTTATTTAAAATTGATAAAAAATTTAAAAAAATCAACTCTTTCCCCCTTGGTATACAAGCAGGATCTTCTCTAATTTAGTTAATCATACTGAAAATTCTAAAATATTAGTCAAATCAAAATATTAACTTTGATTTTATTTTGAAATTGTGAAAAGTCGTATGAATTAGAATCGCTGATTTTAATACTACAAGTAATTTTTTATGCCTTTGGGATATTTATGGTTCTCTCAACTGTAATAGTGAATCATTATGTACACATAGACGAAAGCATGTGCTATTATTTTGAGTAGAATAGAACAGCAAGGTGACTGGTGAAATGATGAGATATATTTTATTCATGGTCTTACTAAGCATTATTTTTATGAGTGGTAGAATTATTTTGTGAAGAATGTTTCATACGATGTAAATAACAGTCGAGCAACATCAGAAATTAGTTTTTCATCTATTAAAAGTATTATCATCGCATTCTAACCAATTTTAATATTATCATTAGATGAGTTTTTTTATATGAGGATAGTGACATGCCAAGCATGTATGTAATTGTTTTTAGTTTATTCGTTGCTAAAAAAGAAATAAACATCACCTTCGATACAATAGCGAAGTTTAGACAGCAAAAGTACTTCCTTCAAATATTGTGTCATTATCCTATTACCATCACTGACTGTAGATGTTAGTTATACTATAAAAACCTTTTCTTTATTCTTCTTTGATGAAGTCCAACAGATTTTGATAATAAGAATAGTATGACGTGATCAAATGTTAAGCTTAGTGATAACATCATATTTTATGTCGTTGAGCATTAATTTGATGAGTAACTAACTAAAACAGAATACAATAGTTCAAGTTTCATTTTAGAACATCATTCATCCTTCTATATTTTCATTCATGGCATCTTCAATGGAATACTCTATACCAAAAACAAATCGTATTGCTACAAATAAAATTCAACAAGAATTTGTTGTCATCAGTTGGAATGTGTTGCATATGATTCATGAGATTAATTATGTGTATGATTCAAGTCCAGTGATCAATCGTTATTCGATTAACAACGATTGGTCAAATGAAAAACTACGACTTAATGATATTATAAAGACATTAAGTGAACTACTAATCAAACACTCTACCATCGAGTGTTTCATTTGTCTCCAAGAGGTTCCCGGTGATTTACTGCCAATGTTACATGAAATGTTCGATTTTCATGCGAACTCAACCTTGGCAAGTAAGCCAGTAATGCATATACAAACTTATTCACGTAAACCGTGCGTTCGGAAAAGACAGAAAAGCTCTATCTACATTGACTCAAATGAAAGTCTCGTCACAATTCATTATAATCCGAACGTCATTTCTACTGAGAAAGCAACTGAATTGGAGAATGAAAAACAATATCTTCTATCTGATGATCGAGTTCTGTGGACACCTTGTCCTACTGATGCTGGCAAAGGTGCTCTTACTGTAACAACCACATCTGGTTTAAGTGTTGTGAATGCGCACGTGCCATATAACAATCAAGCTGCTACATTATTGTTGAGAAATATCTTGTGGCCTGAGAATCATAGTCCATTCGTGTTTGTTGGTGACATAAACCGTGGTTCTAAAGCCTTTATGAAAATAGTTACCCAGATTACCATTAGGAAGCCTTCTTTCGGTCTACTGTTTCCTATCACAACACACA